GACGCCTGCATCCGTGGTTCAAATTCAGAGATGAATTTTTTTCCCACCTCCATGCGTCAATTGTAACCTTCCCGGGGGAATTTCCCACTCTGGTACCCTTCGACCATTTATTCCCACCTTTTGAGGGGTTCTGTAGACTTCCCCCCCCATACTCACCACTCATCAGTTGTGCAGCTGTCCTTACCCTGAAGAGGGCTGGTTCCCCCTATCTCTTCTGGACTGACTACTGCCCATCGTGACTAGTCACTGGTATATATCCCGCGTCCGGGTACCTGTTTAACCCCCTGGAGCACTCGGTGGGATCCTACCGTGAGGCCTGATTCCACCACTTTCCCAGCACAGCGTAATTTATGTGATACTTATCGATCACCCGAAGCGCATCAAGTGGCGGTCAGATATAAAAAAAAAAAGAAAAAAAAGACTGAGAGCACACCTCCACTCCCACCAGCGCAATTTGTGTGATCCTGACCACACCCGAAGTGTTTTGCTGGTAACCAGGCTAAGTGTTATACTTCCTGGACCGCCCACTCGCACAGCGCAATTTATGTGGTTCTCATCACCCACTGTGTTTGGCAGGCCACACCGCACAATGATGAAAGTGGCTTTTCTCTCCCTGCACACAGTAGCTAACACAAGTCAAAACAAAAAGAGGGGTTCTTGGATGTTACTTAGGGGTCACTGGTTGGGCAGAAACCTGCTAACTGACCTTTAGGAAATTTTGTGTAAAGAAAAAAAACTTTCCTAATACACACAGAAAAAAAAAAAAAAACTCTTTTCAACCTGAAAAACTGTTAAAAAGGACAAAGTGGATCCTTATGAAAAAAACACGGGACGTTTCACAGTAAAACAATTACACAGAGGTAAACCGAAAAAAACTGCGCCAAAAAGTAACCTTGTTGCTGACGCAAAAATCACTCCTATCAGCACCGCTAAACGATCCAACGTTATACACGCAATCTTTACTGCAACCACCTAGAAACCGTTTACACAAAAAAGTCTGCTGGACGTGAAACACGCGAGACCACAGCAGCTTAAAAACAAACCCGCTTTACAATAAGGAACTACTTTTAACAGGAAAAACACAAAGAAAAACATAATTCACTATACAAGAAATCTATGTGCAAAAACCCAGACTACACCGCGCTCATTAAATGTGGAACACGTGAAGGGAAAAACTCGCTTAACACACTTTAAATTGGCTGGCAATACGCAAATTTAAAGCTAAAAGCAAACAAATGAAACTGTAAAAAATTTGGATTAAAAACACAATATGGGTCAAATGCATATAGGAACTTCATGCACATTGCATAGAGATTACTGCACATATGGTAGCCAACAAAATGGCCACCAACAGGGAAAGCACATGGTCATTAACAAAATGGCCACCAAACAAAAAGGAGTCCATGTGGTTTTAGTCAAGAAGATGACCCCCACAGAGGAGCACATGGCAGATACTAGAATGACCCCCCCCACAGAGGAGCACATGGTAACACTAGAATGGCCCCCCACAGGGAAGCACACGGCAGCCTCTAGCCTCAAAATTGCCTTCTTACATAAAAACAGATTTTGAACAGAAACATACGCTGGACAATTACACAACAATATGAAGTACACATACAACACAATTGGGCACAATCACAGAACGGGACATAAAACACCAACATATCACACTAACATGCACATGTAACAAAAAGGACCCCCTGCTGCATGCTTGCTGGGAGCAAGTAATACCACAAAACATTGTACAGACCACATACACACAGAGATCTTACAACAGTTAACAATTAACCTAAGCCTTTCAGCACTGTAATAATTACCTCACGTGGAGGGGGGGGGTAAAGCAATCACCCACAGTACCTACAGCCCACAAATACTTACCTAACACTATGCAACAACTTTTTACCCACTAAAACATATACCCGTTTAATTTTTGGTTGGAGGATTTTTAAACTTGACCAAATCCAGCCAACCAAAACCCACCCCTCTGCTGCTCTCCGCAGAGACAAACCCTCGTCTTTCACCCACAAAATCAAGAGTTTAGGACAAAAAAACGACGAGGTCCTTGTTAAGCGGTATTTCTTGTTAGCTAACAGAGAGCGAAATCAGCCACACGAACACGCAAAAAGCGATCCTCTTAATGGCAGAGAGACCTGAAAAATGTGCCGGCATACTTTTTGCTAGTTCATGATGGCCATTCCCCCCTCGTTCTAGGTTAGCTATGCAAGAATACGCGTTAGTATCCACCAGGCTCGCCAAACTGTCTTGGAAATTCGCTTTACCGAATTTCTCTCTTACCGTGAGTACTCGCAGTTGGATGCGCAGAATCCCCCATAAAGCTGTGCGAATCTCGCTTACCACGACTGCAGCCAAAACTCTACACGATTCCTGCCCATCCAAATACTTTGGTTCTGTTGAATTTGTGGGTGATGGAGCTCCGTTACCCTGGAATGATCACACGACACTCTAAGGCTGGTTGCAACTCACATAAGGGGGGCTGATTTTTAGGCTCCGCTCTCTGTTTTATTAAGAATACACACATGCCCCCCACATGAATAAAGTCAATCCCTCCCACCGAACAATACAATGGGGATTGCTTATACAGAGGATGTACATTCCAATTGGAGCATAGCCTTTGCTATTATCTATCACTGGTCCTCCCCCATGAACCTTCTGAGGTCAGCAGACTTCCTCCCCTTCCCCCCTATGAGCCATCTGAGGTCATATTTCCTGTCCTACTATCTTCTATTGGTATGTACATTCTCTGCACAAGCACTCTCTAAAAATATCAGTCTGTACCTGGATGGGCCCGATACGATCTTTATTAAAACACATCCATCCCAGATACAGTTTCAAGTTGGTAATGGGTTGTAAGATATGCATAAGCCTACACGTGGAGTTCACACCGCTTGCGCATTGCGTTATGAAGCCCACGTGGTACCATGCTGCTGATATGTGGATACAGGCCCACGGTCTACTGACAGCGGCATTCGCATGGAATGCCGTGGTGGTATACACGCCGGTCTATAAGCGCAGATCTGCCATCTCATCCATTACCAAGCCGAGTACTGTAATACATAACATTGTACATGCGCATGGCCCAATTGCAGCCTTCAGAGCTTTAATTAAGCCACACGAGAGACATATGAATAACACGAATACATGACACATTTAAAGTTCGACCAACAATACAAAATTTCCATGACAGCTCAGCTATGGAGGAGCCCATTTATGGGGGAAAGGAGGAGCTCAGATAAGGGACATGAAGGACCTCAGTTATAGGGGATGGAGGAGTTCAGCTATGGAGGACAGAGGAAAACCTCAGGTATGTGGGCTGGAGGAGCTCATTTATGGTGAATGGAGGAGCCCAGTTGTGGGGACAGAGGAGCCCAGTTGTTGTGGGACAGAGGAGCCCAGTTGTGGGGAATGGAGGAGCCCAGTTGTGGGGGACGAAGGAGCCCAGTTGTGGGGAATGGAGGAGCCCAGTTGTGGGGGATGGAGGAGCCCAGTTGTGGGGGACGGAGGACCTTGGGTATGGGGGGTTGGATGAGCTCAGTTATGAGAAATGACTGCACACAATAAATGTATTCTCCTGGAGGAAGAGATGCTAGAGGGGATAGCAATGTACAAACCTGTGAACGGACATTGGATGGAAACGTTTTCACGTAAGGTCATTCAAGAAGACACACGGCCACACGGATGGATGGGAAAGCACTTCAATCTCACCCTGTGGAAGGGGATCTTTACCATCAGAGCAGTAAGGATGTGGAACTCCCTTCCATGGTTGGTGGTGTCAGGGAGGAGTGTTGATGAATTCAGAAAGGTCTGGATGAACACAATGTAAGGAGATATGGAGGATGGCGGTGACATACATACACACACACTCAGGTGGAAGATGATCATATACAGCCTAGTAGTGTCACACCCCCACTAGTTCAATACAAAGGGTGTCAGAAAACATGGCAGGACTTTAAAGGAATCACACAATTTATCAAAAAAATTATTAATCTTTATTCACATTGAAAAGCAGTTTTAAAAAGACGGTATATATAAAAGCACAAGATATGATTTCACATCATCGTTGTAATTCAATGGATTTCTGCATGGGCAAAATAACTCAGGAATTTAAGTCAGTTAAGTTATTTTTATAAATTATGATTGTATCTATTTAGCTGACTAAATTAATTGTTCAGATATTCTGTGACAAATTTTAGTTCATTACCCTTGTGTCAGTCCACCAAGTTCAGCCTGAGAAATGGTTTCAAAAAACATGGCGGGATTTTTAAAGGCATCACACACTTTATTTTGAAATGATTAATTTTTATTCACGTTTGAAAAGCATTTTTAAAAAGACGGTATCTCTGCGCATGAATAAAAGCCTGAGATATGATTTCACATTACAGCGGGTATCTCTTTGGTGTAACCTTCTGCCAATTATATTCTGTCCTTATTAACATGTACATGTATATCTGTTCCTTATGCTCAACGAGTTTCTTGAAAAATCTTCACTTCATCAGGAGCCATAGATAAGGTGTATGATTGTTCTAAATGTAAAAAAAAAAGCATAATTACCAAAATCGTACAAATAACAAAATGTATTGTGTTTCAGCAATTAGACCCACATAGTTACCCAAATGTAAGCCGCATCCAGAGAAATGTGAACCACATTCAAAGCAACTGGTCATAACTAGGTGACTGTGGTGGAGTGATACTGTATATAGCTGTAATAGCCCACATGGAAGAAAAATATCGTTTAAATATATTTTAAAAATATTCTTCCCAAATATATTGACATACCGTATTTTTCGCTCCATAAGACGCACTTTTTTCCCCCAAAAAAGGGGGGAAAATGTCAGTGCGTCTTATGGAGCGAATATAAAGCGCCCGGTCCGGTATTTCTGCCGCCACCATGTCAGAATACCGGGCCGGTCCGCTCAGCTGTTCTCTCCTGCAGGGCCTTACCTGTTCCTCGCTCCAGCGCTGCACAGTCTTCCCGCGCTGGCTTCTGTGACAGCCGGGTGCCCACTGCGCATGTGCTGCGCTTTGTGAATGATCCGGTGTCTTCTGGGACACATGACAGGTCCCAGAAGGCGCCGGGCCATTCACAAAGCGCAGCGCTTCTCGCGCATGCACAGTGGGCACCCGGCTGTCACAGAAGCCGGCCCGGGAAGAAGAGCGAAGGGCAACTCCGCGGAAGTGGGAGCAGGTACCCGCTCCCCCTCCCTCCCCAAAGGTCATCAGTCTCTGGTCATTCCCTGCACTGTCTGCAGTCTCTGGTCATTCCCTGCACTGTCTGCAGTCTCTGGTCATTCCCTGCACTGTCTGCAGTCTCTGGTCATCTCCTGTACTGTGTCCGCAGTCTCTGGTCATCTCCGGTACTGTGTCCACAGTCTCCGGTCATCTCCTGTACTGTGTCCGCAGTCTCCGGTCATCTCCTGTACTGTGTCCGCAGTCTCTGGTCATCCCTGTACTGTCCGCAGTCTCTGGTCATCTCCTGTACTGTGTCCTCAGTCTCTGGTCATCTCCTGTACTGTGTCCGCAGTCTCTGGTCATCTCCTGTACTGTGTCCATAGTCTCTGGTCATCTCCTGTATTGTGTCCGCAGTCTCTGGTCATCTCCTGTATTGTGTCTGCAGTCTCTGGTCATCTCCTGTATTGTGTCTGCAGTCCATTGGTTCAGAATATTTTTTTTCCTTGTTTTTCGCCTCTAAAACCTAGGTGCGTCTTATGGTCAGGTGCGTCTTATGGAGCGAAAAATACGGTATATTTGAAATACTACAATTTTGGCCGTATTGAATATATTTATATATATATATATATATATATACATATATTTATACACACACACATATATATATACACACACACACATATACAAAAAAAAATGCATTTCAACATTATTTTTTTTTAAATTGTTCATATTTGCTGTAATATATATATATATATTTTTTTTTTTAATATATTCTTATATTCTTCAGATTTTTCTAACATATGAAAAAAGTAAATTTAACATATATTTGTAGATGCATTCCAAAATGTAGATTAAATGTATTTTTAAAGACATACAATATATTTGAAAATGTATTTTTAAATATTTTTTATATATATTTTGTAATAAAAATGCATTGCAACCTTCTGTGTCTGTGTCTGTGTGTATGTGTGTATATATATATATAATTTTTTTTAAATATATTGAATAAGGTCAAAATTGTAGTATTTCAAATATATGTCAATATATTTGGGAAGGATATTTTTTAAAATATATTTTTTCTCCATGTGGGGGGGCATCAATTCTTTAATGGTGGTGGAGTAATACTGTATATAGCTGTAATAGCCCACATGGAAGAGAAATATATTTGAAATACTACAATTTTGGCCATACTCAATATATTTAAAAAAATATATATATATATATAATTTTTTTTTTTTTAATGAGTGACCTTGTTCGTTATTACATTTAAACGGAATTGTATAGAGAAATGTTTTTCCTCCAAACCCCATTTATGTGGTAATAAACACAGATTTGTATACTTCTTATGCACAGGTGAATAAAATAAGAGCCCTTATCAGTGAATTCCATGTTTTTGGTTTCTCAGGTCAATATACATAATATACACAATATACATAATATATACATAATATTGCCCCAAGTACGCTATAAACAAAAAAAGAGCAAAAAATTTGAAGAAAAAAAAAAGTTTTTCATTGTTTCTATTATAAAATTTTGCAAACAGGTAACTTATCTCCCTCACTGATGTGTGTTGATGAGCCTTCACTGATAGGCAGCACTGATGGGCACTGATAGGCAGCACTGATGGGCACTGCAATAGACAGCAATGATGGGCACTGATGATGGGCACTGATAGGCAGATGGGCACTGAATAAGGCAGCACTGATGGGCACTGATAGGCAGCACTGATGGGCACTGATAGGCAGCACTGATTAGCACTGATAGACAGCACTGATGAGGTAGCACCACTGAAGTGGCGCTGATGAAGCGGCACTGGTGAGCATTTATGAGGAGGTACTGATGATGTGCTGATATTCAGCACTGGTGGGCACTGATAGGCGGCACTGATGGACATGGATAGGTGGTAATGATGGGCACTGATGGGCGCACTGACAGATAGCACTGATGGGTGGCATTGCTGGGCACTGATGGGTGGCACTGCTGGGGACAACTGCTTGGTGGCACTGATGGGTGGCACTGCTGGGCACAACTGCTTGGCAACACTGCTGGGCAGTGCTGATCGGTAGCACTGGGCACTGATGGGTGGCACTGCTGGGCACAACTGCTTGGCTGCACTTCTGGGAAGTGCTGATGGGTAGCACTGCTGGGCACTGGTGGGAAGCACTACTGGGCACTGATCATCCCCAACAGGAGACTTGGCAAGGGGCTGGATTCCCTTAAAAAGTGTTGGAGCCTGCTCAGTAGCAGGAGAGTGGTGGAGGGAGAGAGGTGTGAGACAGAAAGATTTGAGACTGGAGGAAGAAGTCTGCCAGGAGGCCTGCTGGGATGGGGCCTGCCTGCGAGCCAGGAGCTGGAAAGGAGGAAAGCTCAGGACTCACTGGCCCACTAAGAGAGGACCACTGGTGAGGCAAGGAAGCCTTTTCTGCAAGCTGTGCAGGAGAGGATCGGACTGAGTACTCCTACACCCCCTGGGTGGATAGGGGAAGGAGCACTCTGGTGGGAAACCAGATTACCACCCTACTCGTGACTGTGCACTTTGCTTAAAGGAACAGGATCCAGGTCCCCTGCTCAGGAAGGAAAGCTACCAGATTGCTGGGTGGAAGAGGAGTTCATGTTCAAGAGGAGGGAGGGGAGAGTGGTACAGGAGGAAGCGGCTGTGGGGGATGGAGTGGTAGGAAAAGTGGAGGAGATCGGCTGTTAGGTGAGGGTGGGGTAGGCTTCCCTGAAGAGATGGGTTTTCAGGGTGCGCCTAAAGGAGAGGAGAGTAGGTGATAGTCTGATGGGTTGGGGCAGGAAGTTCCAGAGGATGGGGGAAGTCCTGGAGAAGTCCTGCAGTCAGGCGTGGGAGGTGGAGATTTTTACCAGGGAGCTAGAAAGTAGGAGGTCTTGTGAGGAGCGGAGATTACGGGTAGGGTGGTATTTGGGTATCAGGTCGGTGAGGTAGTTTGGGGCGGCGTTGTGAATGGCTTTGTATGTCTGTGTCAGTAGTTTGAATTTGATGCGTTGGGCAATCGGGAGCCAGTGGAGGGATTTGCAGAGCAGAGAGGGGTGGAGGACACTGAATGGAGGCCAGTGGAGGGATTTGCAGAGAGGGGTGGAGGACACTGAGTGGAGGCCAGTGGAGGGAATGACAGAGAGGGGGTGGAGGACACTGAGTGGAGGCCAGTGGAGGGATTGCAGAGAGGGGGTGGAGGACACTGAGTGGAGGCCAGTGGAGGGATTGGCAGAGGGGGGTGGAGGACACTGAGTGGAGGCCAGTGGAGGGATTGGCAGAGAGGGGGTGGAGGACACTGAGTGGAGGCCAGTGGAGGGATTGGCAGAGAGGGGGTGGAGGACACTGAGTGGAGGCCAGTGGAGGGATTGGCTAGAGGGGGTGGCGGCACCCTGAGATCGGCAGTGGAGGGGGGGTGGAGGACACTGAATGGAGGCCAGTGGAGGGATTGGCAGAGGGGGGTGGAGGACACTGAATGGAGGCCAGTGGAGGGATTGGCAGAGGGGGGAGGCAGAGGTGGAGCGGTTGGTAAGGTGGATGAGTCTGGCCGCTGAGTTCAGGATAGACTGAAGCGGGGATAGTCTGTGATGAGGGAGGCCGGTGAGGAGGGAGTTGCAGTAGTCCAGACGTGAGATAATAAGGGAGTGAACGAGTAGTTTAGTAGTGTCTGGGGTTAGGAACGAACGTATTTTAGAGATGTTGCGGAGGCGGAGTCTGCGTGTGTTTGCCAACGATTGGACATGGGGCTGGAAGGACAGGTCTGAGTCTAGAGTGACACCCAGGACTTTGGCTTGTGGGGTGGGACTGATGGTGGCGTTGTTGGTCATGATGGAGAGGGTGGGGGGGGGGAGGGGGGGGGGGGGGGAGGGGGGCACGGGCTGGGGGGAAAATCAGGAGCTCGGTTTTGGAAAGGTTCAATTTGAGGAAATGGAGCGACATCCAGTCTGATATTCAAACCAAAATCTCTGTGTATCCCCAAAGAAAAGTAAATCTTTCACCCTTGAAAGTACAAACATCATAAACCTTTTCTACAATCCTTCCCCAAAACTCAGATTCTTTACTACAGATTCCCCAAATGAATTCAAAGCAAAGTCCACAAAATGTCCACAACGCAAAGTCCACAAAATGTCCACAACGCAAAGTCCACAAAATGTCCACAACGCAAAGTCCACAAAATGTCCACTCTATTCAATCTTCCAGACGTGATAAGTATCCAATTCCCTACTTCAGGTCCAAGATACCTCAAAAAAATGAAACTAAATATAGTGCATTATCTTTCTAATAATATAATAATCTGTGAAGTCATGCAAAACCCCTCGTGACAGGAGAGAGAGGAGAGAGAGAAAATATATATATAAATGAAATAAATATATCCCAAATGATACAATATTGTAAACAATGTGTATGAAGTGAACCCACCTATATACCCCACGCGGGAGGTTAATATAGTTCACAAAAACCCAACTTGTGACATCGTGTATTAATCTCTCCAACAGGTGACATCACAGCAAATCCAATGATATAACTAATGATAAGGTGCAATAGTCCAAATTGGAGCCCCCACTCTGCTAGGATAACATGCGATACCCTCTTGCAGCTTGCACAGGCGTGTCACACAATCCAGAGGGGGAGAGATAACTTTCCTCTTATGGAATCCTCCGCGCTCCTCACACGGCAGAGAAGAGAACACTCAGTGGAGTAAATGAATAAAAATTCAAAATGTAATAACTGCTTACATATGAATAGATATAACCGTCCATCCTATTCAGAAAAGGTTTATGATATCCAGTCTGATATGTCGTTCAGTAGGTGGGCGATACGGGCGGAGACTGAAGGGGTGAGTTGGGGGGCGGAGACTGAAGGGGTGAGGTGGGGGGTGGAGAGGTAAATTTGTGTGTCGTCGGCATAGAGGTGATAGCTGAAGCCGTGGGAGTGTATGAGTTGGCCGAAGGAGGAGGTGTAGATGGAGAAGAGAAGGGGCCCGAGGACAGAGCCTTGGGGGACCCCAACAGAGAGGGGGGAGAGAGGAGGAGGTGGTGGCGTTATAGGTAACGCTGAAGGAGCGTTGGGATAGATAGGAGGAGAACCCAGGAAAGGGCGGAGTCTTTGATGCAGAGGGAGTGCAGTTTATTAAGGAGGAGGGGGTGGTGGATGGTGTCGAAGGCAGCGGAGAGGTCGAGGAGTAGGAGGACTGAATAGTGGCCATTAGCTTTGGCGGTTAGCAGGTCGTTGGTGAGTTTGAGTAGGGTGGTTTCGGTAGAGTGTAGGGGGGTTTCGGGGGAGTGTAGGGGTTTCGGTAGTGTAGGGGGTTTCGGGGGAGTGTAGGGGGGCGGTGGAGTTTCGGGTAGAGTGTAGGGGGTTTTCGGTGGAGTGGGCGGTTTCGGTAGAGTGTAGGGAGGTAGGGCGGTTTCGGTGGAGTGTAGGGGACGGAAGCCGGACTGTAGGGGATCGAGGCGGATGTTGTCAGTGAGGTGGGTGCTTAGGCGGGTGTAGACTAGGGGCTCGAGGAGCTTGGAAGTGAATGGCAG